ATGTGAAAACAATAAAATATAATATTATTCGTTTTGAGAGTCTAAAGCTGCAACGACATCGCCATATACAGAAAGTTTAAGCGCAGGATAAGAGCATGCACACTCTTTCCCATTTCCAAGCAAAAAAAACCTATACATACAAACTCATACTTATACGCTTATATACATCTAGAGAGAGAGATAGAGAGAAGAAAAATGTGGGCTTTTTCAGAGAAATAAAAAAGGAATTTTTTTCTTTTCTTGTTTAAAGCTTTTGTCTCTCTCTCAATTCCATCTTGTTCTTGTTTGCATTCGGAAACAATAGAAAGAAACTGTTGTTTCATGATGGCACCTTTGGTTTCTCTTCTTCATTGAAGGGTCGAATTTGGTCTGAGGAAAGAAGAGAGAGAGAGAGAGAGAAAGAGACAGAAGCCCCACAAGAGAGACATGCTTGTCTGTGTGTAGTCCCTTTTTGTATGTTCTTTAATCTCTCCCACTCTCCTTCGTTCTGTTTTTGTCATGTGTAAGGGTTTTGTCCTTCGAATTTGGAGTTTTCTTTAACCAAAAAAACCAGATTCCATGAAATGGGTTTGTCCTTAATTCTTCTGGTTTCTCGATTTATCTTGTAGCCTGTTTGCTCAATAGGGCTCTTTGTCTCTTCTTGGGTAAAATAAATAAAGTAAATTATGAAGATTTCGTAAAAGAAAAATACCTTCGAAGTCTCGCTTAAAGCCTAGTGCTGAGTGTCGTAGACACTGACCGAGCTTACAAAATCTCTTTATGATGGCTTCAATGGCTTGTGTTGAAGACAAGATGAAAACAAATGGTTTGGTTAGTGGAGGAACAACAACAACTTCTCAATCTACTCTTCTTGAAGAGATGAAGCTGTTGAAGGATCAGTCAGGTTTTCTTCTGCTTTCTTCCTACAGATATTGACTGGAATTTTCTTTCTCAGAAATTCGCTCGCAACACTCTCTCTGTAAAAATAAAAACCCACATCAACTGAGAAAAAAGTTTTACAATTTGACATTGAAATCTTGTTAGCTTTCCCTAAAACGTAATTTTTTTTTTTGATTTCGTACATTTTCAGGAACGAGAAAGCCGGTAATAAACTCGGAGCTATGGCATGCTTGTGCAGGCCCTTTGGTTTGTCTCCCTCAAGTTGGGAGCTTAGTGTATTACTTCTCACAAGGTCATAGCGAACAGGTAACTTTTGTGTGTCTTAAGGGGCAACAAAAAAATTTGTAGCTCTCTAGATCTTGCAACCTCATTTTCAAAGGTTTGACTGTCTGTTCACTTTTGGAGTCAGGTTGCTGTTTCAACCAGAAGATCAGCAACAACCCAAGTTCCTAATTACCCAAACCTTCCATCTCAGTTGATGTGCCAAGTCCATAATGTTACTCTACATGTATGCCTTTTCAATCTGCTTTATACGCAAACTTATTGAAACCAGTTTTAGTTTCTCTTAACAAAGCATTTGTTTTCATTTGGATAGGCAGACAAAGACAGTGACGAAATCTATGCTCAGATGAGTCTTCAGCCTGTTCACTCCGTAAGTTTCTATTCTTGTAACTTCCTTTGTTTTCTCCTTTAATAACCCACTTTGAAAAGTCTAATGAGTCTTAACTGGTTTGTGCATTAGGAGAGAGATGTGTTTCCTGTACCAGACTTTGGGCTATTGAGAGGAAGCAAGCACCCGACTGAGTTTTTCTGCAAGACACTTACTGCAAGTGATACGAGTACACATGGAGGTTTCTCCGTGCCACGTAGAGCTGCAGAGAAGCTATTTCCACCTTTGGTTTGTCTCTCTTTTCCTCAGGAAAGACATTTGGTCCTTTTGCTTCAATTCCCACTAATGTTATGTATTAAAACATTACAGGATTACACAGCGCAGCCTCCAACACAAGAGCTTGTAGTTCGAGATTTGCATGAGAATACTTGGACATTTCGCCATATATATCGCGGTAAAACAAATAAATCTAGATACCTCTCTCTGTCTCTCTGTCTCTGTAGATATTCAGTTGATAATTGAGCTCAGTTCTTGCTTGCATTCTCAGGGCAACCAAAGAGACATCTCCTAACAACAGGATGGAGTTTGTTTGTTGGGTCGAAAAGATTAAGAGCTGGGGATTCTGTTTTGTTCATCAGGTAAAAATCTTTATTTTTATGAATCTGCAACTGGCTACTGAGTCATTTTGGTTTTTCATAACTTCTGATTTCTTATCCAACCATTTGAATTAAAAACGTGTGAAAAAGGGATGAGAAGTCGCAACTGATGGTTGGTGTGAGGCGTGCTAATAGGCAACAAACAGCTCTTCCTTCATCAGTTCTCTCAGCGGATAGTATGCACATCGGTGTTCTTGCTGCTGCGGCTCACGCAACTGCAAACCGCACTCCTTTCTTGATATTCTATAATCCAAGGTAAGCTAAAAAAAGCTTCTCTTATCTCAACATATAGATATATCTTCTTAGTTCCTCTCAGACAACTCACTGTGTTTGTTCTCAGAGCATGTCCAGCAGAATTTGTGATCCCTCTTGCTAAATACCGCAAGGCAATATGTGGCTCTCAGCTCTCAGTTGGTATGAGGTTTGGAATGATGTTTGAAACTGAGGATTCCGGGAAGCGTAGGCAAGTGATCCATTCCGTAACCTTCAATCTTTCTTTTCTCAAGGATCAAAATTTGTTGTAACTTTTTTCAACTCGTAATTGTGTATGTAGATACATGGGAACAATTGTTGGAATCAGTGATCTGGACCCGTTGAGGTGGCCTGGTTCTAAGTGGCGTAACCTTCAGGTTGAATGGGATGAGCCTGGATGTAACGATAAGCCGACTAGGGTCAGTCCATGGGATATTGAAACACCTGAAAGTCTCTTCATTTTTCCTTCGCTGACCTCAGGACTCAAACGTCAGCTCCATCCATCTTACTTTGGTAAGTAAAAAAAGTGTTGCCTTATTTGTGATATTTTCATGTAATTTGCAGCTTCAAACTAATTGCTATGTGATTTGCAGCTGGTGAAACAGAATGGGGTAGCTTGATCAAGCGGCCTCTTATCCGAGTTTCTGACTCTGCTAACGGGATTCTGCCTTACGCATCATTTCCAAATATGGCCTCGGAGCAGCTTATGAAAATGATGATGAGACCTCACAACAACCAAAACGCAACATCTTTCATGTCTGAGATGCAGCAGAACGTTTTGATGGGTCATGGAGGTTTACTAGGAGATATGAAGATGCAGCAGCCGATGGTAAGGAACCAGAAATCTGAGATGGTGCAGCCAGAAAGCAAGCTAACTGTGAACCCGTCTGCTTCTAATATAAGTGGCCAAGAACAGAATCTGTCACAGAGTATGAATGCTCCTGCTGAACCTGAAAAATCGACACTTTCTGGTTGCAGCTCCGGGAGAGTCAATCATGGAAGTGAGCAGCAGTCAATGGAACAGGCTAGCCAGGTGAAAACAGTCACAGTGTCTAATGAGGAAAAGGTTAATCAGCTAATCCAGAAACCGAGTGCTTTGTCTCCTCCACAAGCTGATTCATGTCCTGACATAACTCAACAGATGTACCCACCACTGTCTGATCCAAATCCAATAAACGGATTCTCTTTCCTGGAAACCGATGAGCTGACATCACAGGTCTCTACCTTCCAATCACTTTCCGGATCATACAAGCAACCACCAATGCTATCTTCCCAGGATTCTTCAGCTGTCGTTTTACCGGATTCAACAAACTCATCGCTGTTTCACGATTTGTGGGACACTCAGTTAAACGGTCTCAAGTTCGACCAGTTTAGTCCCTTGATGCAGCAGGACCTCTACGCTTGTCAGAATATGTGTATGAGTAATAGCACACACAGCAACATCCTTGATCCTCCACTCTCAAACACAGTTCTTGATGACTTCTGTGCCATCAAAGAAACTGATTTCCAGAACCAACCTTCTGATTGCTTGGTCGGGAACAACAACAGTAGCTTTGCTCAAGATGTCCAGTCGCAGATCACATCCGCTAGCTTTGCAGACTCACAGGCCTTCTCTCGCCAAGATTTTCCAGATAACTCTGGAGGAACCGGTACATCTTCAAGCAATGTTGATTTTGATGATACTAGTCTGCTGCAGAATAGCAAAGGCTCATGGCAGAAACTTGCAACACCCCGTGTCCGAACCTACACCAAGGTAAATCAAAGTCTCACGTACCTTCCACGGATAATACATTTTCATCATACGATCTAACATGAACTTTGGTTTTTGTCGGATGTTTTGGTTTGGCAGGTTCAGAAAACCGGATCAGTGGGGAGGTCAATCGATGTCACAAGCTTCAGAGACTACGAGGAGCTTAAGTCTGCAATTGAGTGCATGTTTGGATTGGAAGGACTGCTCACTCAACCACAAAGCTCGGGATGGAAGCTAGTCTATGTTGATTATGAGAGTGATGTTCTGCTTGTAGGAGATGATCCATGGGAGTAAGTATTTTTTTTCATTTGTCTTATGAATCCATTAACTTTCTGTATTACAATGTTTTTCCTTACATAGTTACATAAACTGGTGCAGAGAGTTTGTGGGATGTGTAAGGTGCATTAGGATACTGTCGCCGACAGAGGTCCAGCAGATGAGTGAAGAAGGAATGAAGCTTTTGAACAGCGCAGGAATAAACGATCTCAAGACTTCTGTTTCATAAATGTATCATTATAAACAATTATCTCCTGCAGATTTGTAAGAAAGAAAAGAGAGAGGAAGAACTGTTCTTTTCTCGAACTGGTAGAGGAGTTCATTTGATGTGTTGTTCCGATTTGAAACCCGAACCTACTGTTCTAATTTAATGTAGTAGAGTGGTTAATGAATTGAGACAGACTGAAGTTATCCACAAACAATCATTATAATCTTTGTTGTCTTAAGATCAAAATCTGACAAGAAATCACTAGATCAAGGGTCAAAGTTTCTTTTCACAGAAGCTTATATTTTGTTTTATTTACTTTTTCTTTTAAATTATTTTCTTTATTTTTCTCTTTATTCTTATTTTCATTTGTAGAACTGCTAACCAAATAATATTGAACCTACTAAAAACAAATTAAAAAACTAAAGACAAATATGTATGTGTAAATATTGCAAAGAAAAGGTTCTCAAGTTTTTCTCAAAAATTTGAGACCCTAGGCCCATATTTCTTAGAATTTTAACGTGAGCACAACTCTGGTGGGATACGCTAATTATGCTTCAGTCCCTGTCAAATCTCATTCTTTTTGCACTTGGCATCTCAGAATTGTTGATATTCCTTGGCTGGTAAGCTGTAGCATCGTGCTGGTATGAACAGTTTGCTCCATGGCGACAACCCCTGGTGGTGTTGAAGTACAAGCAAGGCTTCATAATCTTGGGTTTTGAATCCCTGGGCCTCTGGTTATTATTATTGCTATTTACCATCTCAGGGTTTGGTCCTCCTCCAGGTTGGAGATTATAACGATAACCAAGATGTTGTTGAGCTTGCGGAGTCTCTTGTCTTTCCCCGCCATGTTGCTGAATCAGGCTCTTGTAATAACTAGCATCTCTTGCTGGTGGTGCTCCATAGTTGGGTTGATCTGAAGGAGCTGGAGGGTGATACACCATGGGAGGAATATGAGTTACCGTTGGCTGAGGGTAATATTGTCCGTTTGAACACGCAGGTGTTGTGGTTACTACTCCATTGGCTTCAGGCGTTGAAGATGGGTAGAGGCTACTTGCGTTGGAGGACACTGAACCTGCACCGCCACAATTTGCAACAAGATTCTCGACCAACTTAGGGTTGCTTAAGATTTTGATGAGCAAATCTTGGTCGATCATGCTGCAGCCTTGTTCTTTGCTGTTTGAGATTGCAGATAATGCAGCCATTATTTCTGACCCTGCAGGGAAGGTTGAAGCGGATGATTGATTCTCATCTGTTATTGATGGCGCTGTTCCCACATCCACGCCAGATTGGGTTGAGAAATCAGATGCTGAATCCGTCGTTGTGTCATCATCTTCTACAGGTAGAATGGGTATGACAATGGTTTGCTGGTCATCACGATCCGAGTTCTCAACATCAGCTGGAACCGCAGGGCTGCAGATTTGAGTTTAAGAAAAGACTCGAGTTAAAAAAAAAAAAGGTTAAAGGATTATGCAAATGTATGTGTTGGAAGAATACGTAAGGAATAGATCCGGACTTTGTGGGAATAGCTGATGCCCCCGGATAAAATGCTTCAAGCACTCTCAATTCCCTCTGATTTTGCGCCTCTACTTCTTTGCTTTCGTCCCCTGCAGCCACTCTCAATTCCTCATCAAACAGAATCTGCAAGAACACATGTTATTCCAGTTGAACATACCTCACCACCATATACAGCATTCTATTGTCAGTATCCTACGAGCTGAACATAGGACATCCTCAACCTCCAAGGGTAACCCAACTAAGAGCACCTTATCACCATATTTACACATGATTCTTAAGCTAATCAGCTTAGCTGAGATTTTGTTAGAAATTTACTTAAAATTTCCGAGGAATAGAGGAAATAAAGATGTAAACTATAAGGGTATATATCTTGGCAATCAGGGGGAACTGCAACTAGTACTTTCAGAGATATAATTATTATAGCTAAAAAACTAAGGCTTAAAGAGTGCGATCAGGAAGCTCACCCGGACAGAGCATTTCCACTTTATTACTGGGATGTCTGATAACTTAATCTGTGACTCATTTGGAGAAAGACTTCCACCGAAACCAGGTGGCAGATTATCATCACTTGGATGTGAAGCGCATGATGACTTTGCTTGTAGGTGATCTTGAGATTCTGATCCAACTTGCGAAGGTGAATCTTCTGATATGAACAGCCGTACCTGCTCAACATGAAAAAGAGATTGTTAATTGACACGTACGCAAGAACCATAGAGAATCTTGATCATATCATGCTAGCTATAATCTCATGTAGACCTCAAACAGGAATCACTACACTCACAAAAAAAAATATATATATATATATATATATAATATATCAACATGAATATTACCATTGGACCAGTTATCTCAAACATATAATCCAGAGAAAGTCAACAAGGGCTTGTCACCATTAACAAATTACAAGATTCTTGGTTGTTTGAAAAAAAATCAATGTGGTAATGTATAAGATAAGGGGCCTCATAATCTAGGACAGCCTAACTAATGTATACATGGAAAATTGTGACATTCCTCCCTGAAGATTCCTCATCCTCCACCTCCCTACCAATATGCAACTTAGCGGGATGATGAATCATCTCCAAGCTATCTTAGCAAAAAGGTTGCAAATGACAGCATTCGAAAGTGTGTAAAAGCCGAATACGTGTTGAAGAGAGCCAAAACTCTTTGGACATCACCATTCCTCTTGGTTCGTTCTCTTGCATACCTCACCACAGACTACTTGACAACACTGATCTCATGAGTAAGTGGGTTAAAGCTGACCATCCCATGATAGAACTGGATGTATCTCAGGATTAGCCCCTTATCCAAAGAAGCAAAAATGGGCAAACAATTTTAGACTAAAATGCAAGAAACAAAACATTAACAAAAAAACAAGAGCAAACTTATATGTAAACTCCAAAAGCTGAAGATAACTGAATTGTATCCATGATTCCATACATATCCATTGTGATGAAATTGAAAACAAACAAAGATAGTATGACAGAGCGCAAACATACACCACAAGCAATCAAAGTCTCTTTGCTCCTCAAAACATTACTAAGCAAAAGATAAATCAAGTTATCAAATTAAAACAGCTAACGGGACATTAAGGAATAGAAAAACCAGGCGAGTGACATCACAGGATCAAACTTCATCAAGAGCAAGAGCAGAACAGAACAAAAATCAGCATCACTAATACATTTCTCCTGCAGTTCCAGTGACCGTGTCATTTGCAATCAAGCTAATTACAGAAGGAAAACTAAACAAATATCAGCCAGATTCCATCGAAGCTTCGATCGAAAGAATTGCAATGTCTTTACCTGACAAAGTTTAAAATCTGGTGGCCACGATACCCTTTTCGATTTGTGCAATGCCCGCATAGTTACAGAAGCTCACTTCTTTTCAATCTAATATTCTTTCTTTTTTTCAAAGGAAAATTGATTCGGGAAGGTCCAATTACCCTTTAAAATCCCAATAATTATTCTTTTAGATTGAATCAATCATCGTTCTACCCTAATTTCTCAGAAAAACTTTTGAATATCGGAGGTGTAGAATTGAAGAGGAGAAGATGATGAAGTTATCAAAATCCAGAGAGAGGAAACTTGTGCGTGTTAAATCCGTCGAAGAGATGACGAGAGAGAGAGAGATCGAAGCGATGTGAAGCCCTAGATCCTCTGGGTTCATCTGGTCACCATCGTCATTTTATCTGTCCCTCAAGGATTTTTCTTTCCTCCGCCTATATACACGTGTCTTCACAACCGTACCCTCTCGCAATTTTTCATTTCTCCATATAATCCACTTGTTTCAGTATTTTTCCATAACGGCCCCTATATTTAAGATACGTTCTGTGCAAGATTTTGATTTCTGTTTTGCTAAACGAAGTCAATAGCAGCCAGTTTTCATTGACTCATAGTTGTGATCCGACAATCCCACAAACCATTATTCTTTCTCTTATCTTTTGAATGGTATATTGATTGAAATTTAGACATGTTTTTAATGACATGTAAGACTTGCAGCTGATAAACCAAATATTTATGATCATATAAACATATTTCTTGCAAATCATGATTGAATGGTGATCTACATTCCACCACTTTGACAAAGCTAGTAACAAATTAAAGAACTTAGAACCATTCTACACATTTTTCTGTTCTTTCAAAATTTAGAAAACATGAGGTATAAAAAAACAAAAAAAAATTGTGGATGTTAACATCATTATTAAAATAGATTGCACTTTTATTTGTTTATAGATTATAACATTCTAATAAATCCATTGTTATTGATTTAAATCAAAATCAACTGTTATTCAAAACATGTGGATTTTTATGATAATGTGATATGTTATAAGCTAGTGTTATTGATGAGTTTTAAACAATTTATCTTGTTTATGCTTTTCAAAATACTTATATATCCCCTGTATTCTAAAAGTTTGTTAATAATAGGATTCTTTTATAAATTGTTTCAATACACAAAACTCTCTCCAAATTTAAAAAACTTTTACAAATTCAATAAAACTCTATGCAAATTTGACAAATCAACAAAAGTTTATATAAATCCAACTCCCAAAACCCATCACACGTTAGGTCCGGCGACTGCCAATCACCAAATATTGCAAACTAACCGAACTTCCCTAAGATTTTTGTTTTCCGATTTCACTCCGGTCAGCTTCATCTCTGCCATTTTCTATCTGTAAGACGCAAAGGCACAATCAAACATTTTCTCAGTAATGTTCAAACTATCAAAATACGAAGAGTGATTACAGAGAAACCATTGGAGGAGATTTGTTTACCCTTTGTTCCCGGTTGTGCTTGAGACGCAGACCTTTGGATTCTAGGAGAAGATCCTTGTTTCCCATTGGTACCAACAGGCAATGAATGTCTCTTCTTGCTGGAAACGTCTCTTTCCTGAAGATCAGGGCTTGATCTTGGTGAGTTATGTTCCTGAAGCTTAGCTTTCGCCGACTGTGTTGGCTGCATGAACCGAGGTAGAGAGTTCTTGCCTCCGCTGCTTTCTCTTGCTTCTTGATCATACCCGAAAGAATTTCTCCTCCCGCTTTTCTGTTCTTTACCTTCTTCTCGTTCTGGAGTATTAGCCTCACCGGTACCAGTTTCCTGGTTCGGGCTTGATGTTATTTTCTTGCTAACTTTCCGCTTTTGGCTTGAACCACTCTTTTCGGATTTTCCCTTTCTCGCTTTATCTGAAGAAGATGCTTGACTTGCCGGAGTTGCCTGAGATTCAGTGATTGTCATCGGAGTTAATGCTTCCTCAGATAACGAGTAAGCTTGTGGCCCTGATTCATCCCCTGCCTGCCTCTTTTTGGAATCTGGTGTACTAATAACCGATTCGTGCTGTGTCGCTGAAATTTCAACTTCATCCTTAGCATTCTCAACTTTCTCCTTAGGGTCCTCTACAGTACCCAGTGGTGTTTCATCTTTGACATCAATTTCTATCAACTCTGCTTGGTCTGTTTTGAGAGTGATGTTCTCTAAAAGCTTAGCTTCAACCTTGGGCTCTGCACCCTCAGCGTCTGACTTCTTGTCAAGTGAATCAAGAGAAGAAGTTACAGACAGTTCGGTGCCACACTCAGATCCACTGAGCTCAGCTGGAGCAACATCTTCCAGAGACTGATCCTTTTTAGTGTTTGTAGTGTTAGCCTCTGATGAATCCATATCTGTTTTGCCTTCTTCACCTAAAACACCATCTTTAGAAGAAAGCGTCATTGCTTTGTTTGAACCAGCAGATGAAGTTAGCTCCTCAAACTTCGACTGTGCAGCAATGAAAGATGGATTGCTTGCCTTACGCTTCAAAGAATGTTTAGGCTGTTCATCCACATATTCAGCCTCTTCGAGCAAAGAATCTGAATCCCGAGCAGCAAGTAGATGAGTCTGGATCAAGTCATGATCAACCTCCGCAGATGCTTCTGGTGAATCATATTGGCTCATTTTCTCCGTCTCAGATCGCTCCACATGCTGAGCTACTACCTTACTTGCTTCATACCTTGAGACACCAGTTTCAGTTACCGTCTCTAAGGTTGAGTTCGAGTTCACCAAGTCAACTTGAGATGATACTTTGACATCCTCGGTTTTTTCCAACTGTTGCTCTTCCGTTGCCAAATCTGCTTTTGACGTCTTCTCAGGCTTTGAAACAGACATCCACCTTTCCAACCAGTTCCACGCAGAACTAGGTTTTGTTGGATCACACTTAATGCTGATAGGCTTCGTCTTCGGCGTTGACTCCATTAGCTATAGTCAAAATATGCGAGAATGATTATACAAGAAATACCTCGAATAGCCAGCTGTGTAATGCACTAGAACCAAGTTTAAAAACATACATGCTTCGCAAACTTGTTTTCGAGAAGTTTCTGTGCTGCTGCATTTGTTTCCACCTTATCCTGAAACAATAAACAGTATTGGTCCACAGATCTTACAGGGAAAACAGAATGATACTGAAACATAATTCAGCCATCTCAAAACCATACCGAGATTGCTGAAACACGGCTACCATCTTTCGTGGAATGACGAGCACGGACCAGCGTCTGCATTTTGACAATAGCTTGGACACAACGCAGTGATCCCATGGCCTGATTCCTAACCAGGTGGCCACGTACTGCAGCTTGAAGTTTAACAACTTTCTTGCGCCTCAAAAGTTCTCTTCGCGCCTGGAGTTTCACAACACTCCAGTAAGAATAGCTTTTAAAACGAATCTCAGGTTTGGATTTTTTTTTTTTTTTACATCTTCACAATGTTCATCGAGTTAAGGAATGCTTCTTCACATCCTTAATCATATTAGTATACAAGAATGAGACAGGGGAACAAGGAAACAAGACCATACCAAAAATCCGCGTATGGCAGCTTGGATGATAATGATAACAGAATCATCAAGTTTCTCATTAACTTCTTCATCACTTCCTTTTCCGATTATGATCACATCATCGGGTTCAGATGCTTCCGGTTCAACTTTACCAGCAAGCTCAGCACCAGAAACAATGTCTTTCTCCATCAAGGATGCATCAGCAGCAACTGGTCCTTCCAACTTAGCTTGCAATTCAGTTCCAATCAAGCCATCCTCTTCAGTTTCAGTCCCTTTAGATTCCACCACAACAGGCAGCTCGGTTTTGTGGTCAATCTGTTCTGACAACTCCGTTGTTCTGTCCTCAGCGGATTGTGTTTTCTTCTCATCCACAGGCTCAGCCACATAGGTAACAGGCAACTGGCTCTTCTTCTCATCAGCAGAGAATGTCTGCTTTTCGGAAACAATGTTATTGTCAGGAGATGGAGATTTGAGGAGAGCAGATTCAAGAGTCTCTCTTGTCCTAGAAGCAGGAGTTGTTTCAGAGACTACACTACTGATCAACCCTCGCTGTTTCCCAGATTTCTTCCTGAAACTCCATCCACGCTTGTCACCAGAGCTCTTGTTCTACATATCAAAAAACAAAATTGATCTAAGCAATCTTAGTTGCTTAATCCACATTTCCATAGAAAGCTAAAAGACACAAAAACCATTAAAACCTAACAGATCAAAAAACGGGTAAAGATCTCAGTGATTCCATAATATTACTAATTAACGACCAAACAATATAAAAACCAAAATAGACAAAGTTAAAACTCAGTAATGCCAAAAAAAAAAATCAGACCAAATTCTGACGGAAGCAAACAAAAAAAAATCTACGAAATTGGGTAATTTAAGGATTTAAGAAAATACTATGAGTATAACAACTCAGATCTTAAATTAGAAACTTCAAGCATCTTCTTAAGTAAACCACTAAGTGCAGACACAGCAATTGAAGATCGCGAGCACGAGAAACGAAATTAGGAGAAAATGTAAGAACCTCTAGGGCATTCGTCGTAGGTTCGGCAGCATCGTCTCCGCCGGCGCAAGCGATGATCCGGAGACAAGAAGAAGCTGGAGATCTTCCCATAGTTGTGATTCTTCTTCTTCTACTTCGAAGACGACCGTTTTATCTTCTTCTGGTGTTGGATCAGTAAATAAACACACAGGGAAAAAAAAAAGTGTTTGTAGTGTCGTTGGAAATTGGAGCAAAAGCAACGGAACTCAAAGGAAGCATTAAAATACGGTTTAGTCTCGGATTTGGAATCCGCCAGTCTTTCTCTTCTGTCCGTTGAGGTGCCAATAAAAGCGAAAAAACGCTGTCACTGTCAGATTTCTCTCGTGACATTTTCTTAATACTTTTTATAACCAAAAAAAAAATATATATAATACGGATAATTCTAAGCCCATAATTACATTTCACCTAGTATAAGTAAATTAAAATGCATATATTTTGATGCTGAGAAGAGGAAGAAAACAGATAGATGCTTTTGGATTCAAATTTCTAGGGTCGAAGAGAAATCTAAAAAGCTGTGTTGTATTTTCTGTTTCTGACCGGTTTACTATAAACAATGTTGGATTGATTGAAACAAAAGAATAATGAATTAGTGGGGGATTATTCAATTATGGCAAGTCGATAATGTTGGCTCACCTAAAATAATATAAGACGCATGTGACTGTCATGTGCACTATGTCTTTTTTTTGTACCTTTTTTCTTTATTTCTCTCTGATCGCTTTGGGGTTTATCAACTTTATTTATTTACTAGAATATTAATAGTCTATTTGGTTGAAGTCTTAAATAGGTTCATAAAAATTGTTTTCGAGTGTTTTTGCAGTGTAAGCAAAAGTGACAATGATGTATTAACAGAAAGTATAAGACTGAATGAAATTGGTTCTTAAAGCTTTTTCATTGTCTTTTTTAGTATGCCTCTCTTTAGCAGGTAATCAACTTTATCTGTGACAACTTTCAAATTCCTCCATTTGTTGTTCAAAAAAACTTACAAATTCCATAGTTAGAAAAGAAAATAAATAATTGGTATAGATTCGAAATGAAAAGAAGAAAAAGATGAAAATTAAATTAGATGGGCTTGGTGAGCCCATAGTGGGCCAGCCCAAAAAGAAGCTTGTAAGAGGAAATGGAAGGTGTGGGGTATCTCTCTCCTACCCAACAGATCAAGTCCTAACCACTACTCATTGTATTGACGACATGCCTTTTGTACAAATTATGCCACGTTTCATATCCACAGTACTGCCAGCTAGGCAGCATATGTAACTTCTTTTTGTTTGTTGCCATTACGACAAAAATAACAAAGGGAAAGTGTGGGGCTAATTGAAAATGAAACCATATGAAAATAATTATTCTAACGTTGTGATGGGATCATATACAGCCACTGCCCGATCCGTTCTTAGATTTTTTTTCGTTTTCTTTTTCTTTTTGTTATGTAATTGATTCACGTATGGTCTACGTACTTCTACTAAACACTGTTTTAAGCAATAGCGGAGCTAGACAAAAATTAAGTTGGAAGCATAAGCTTATAAATAGAAAAAAAAAATAGTTGGGGACAAAAATTTTATTTACCATTAAACTAAATATATTTAACTGAATTTGCTTAAACATTTAAAAAAAAAAAAAGAGTATGAGGCACTTAATCCCACTACTCATATAGTGCATCCGCCCCTGGTTTTAAGTAATATTAATAAATGTGTACAAATACACTGACACTACGTATTAAGTCTCCACTGTTTTAAACAAAAACTTTTTGTCTTTACGTTTGCTTTTACATTAATACAGTGATAGTTATGGACCAATATTACTTTTTATTTTATAACGATAATACTAAATGAAGACGCAAACAAACGAAGCCGTAGTCGGTAACCAAAAGCAAAAAAAGTTTGAGTGATAATAAACTCAGGGATTGCGTGTGAAGATGGAACAAACCTTCCACGACCTTGACCAATATGATTAATCTTAAGACCAAAACCTAAAGTATGATAGTATTGAATATTCTAAACACAGAAGAAGCATCTAATTGCTTTCATCTTAAGTCAAATATCTCAATCATGCGGATTCATTTCCTGTTTTGTCGCACTCGCCGACAGAATTTACCATTTTAACAATATCAAAACTCTATTTTAGTCATTAAAATACAGATAACAACGATTTAAGGAGCGGATTATGATCAACATAAATCTAATAATTACCGAAATACGCATGCTGCATGCAATCAGAAATCAGTCGAGGACAAAACCGTACCATTTTCTTCTTCTCCTTAGTTCAGAAAATTGTTAAAGTCGAAAATGTTTTCTCTAGAAATAAATCATTCGATGTGGTTTACATCAGAATACAAAAGCCGATGAAAGTTCTCTAGGGGCTTAAACTTAAACAAAAGCTTAATAAAAAATAGAGATTAAAAAGGTGATTTTTAAGTATGAAGAGAGCAACAAAAATTGTTAAACAAAAACCACATCGAAAATTCTGAGTCAAAGGTAGTTTTCTAAGACTTACGTGGCCTTCCTCTTCTTCCACCGGTCTTCACCGGCGAAGCTTTTCCATTACTGGTGCGGCCGCCGCGGCCACGTCCTCCACGGCCACGTCCACGTCCTCTGCCACGAGTGCTTTGTTTCTTGCCATTCGCTTCTTCTCCATCGTCACTGTAGTCGCTGTCCCCGTCACTGCCTCGAGCTTCCTTCTCCTTGTCGCTGTTTTCTTCATCACTGTCTTGTTCAGATTCAGATGAAGCTTTCGATGCTTTCCTCTTTCTAGAAGCACCTCTTTTCGGAGGTTGTTGCTTTGTTATTGGCACAGTTTCTTCTTCGGGTTCTACAGTCTCTGTTCAAGACAAAGAAACACATCAACAAATGTTTAAACTCTGTAGGCAGATAAGTTTTGATGTGATTATACCTTCTAATGATCCTTTACCGTCATAGACCTCGAGCTGCAGACAGGATAAATCACGTATGGAACCAGACGAGTAAATAAAAAAAAAAAAAAATCAAGAAAAATATCATCTTGAGCATTGCTTAAATAAGAATTAGCTTTCTTTCTGTTGTTACCTGCTCAAGCCGATCAGCAATATCTGTTCTGTCAACTATGACCATAGAATGGCAAAAACCGCATGCCACACTGCAGAAAACATACACAATGGATTTAGAATAAGTTCCAATTTTCCACTGCGGTAAACACTTGAGAACTCACTCACCCCATTACATGCATTCCCTCGAGTATATCCACCTTTTTAGGTGCTGCAGAGGATCTGAGAGAAAGAAGCAGGGTTTTTTTTTAATGAGAGTCTATGTGATTTTTTAACTAAAAATTACTTATGGCGTGGGAGGCATACTTTTGACCGTTGGGGCCATAACCAAGTTCTCCATACTGAGCATGACCCCAACTTATGCAAGAACTATCTGCACCAACAAAATGATGCATGCTTCCTGAATCCATCCAACGCAAGTTCCAACCACTGCGTAAGGGGTTATAATGTTAACTTTAATCATCAAAAGCAAAATAACAATCGGTGGAATCTTGACTTAGACAAACCTTAAATCCATCATAGGTTTAGGGTACATCCAATCATCCCCATTGTTCTTAATCTTTCCCCACATATACAACTGTCCTCCACCTGAAAAAACCGACAAGTTGAATTTAGTTTCAAATATCGGAGCAGAAGACTAATACAAGAGGTGAAAACAGTTGAGATTAAAGTGACTTGCCAGCAGTACAAGCGGAGTTTGCAGAACCAGCAGAAACAATGGCATTAGGAGGCAGAACATTATTCCTCTGAAACACATCAACACGGCGAGGAGCCCATTCATCTTTCTGCTCCCTATGTCCAAGCCTGCAATTGACAACCAATATCTAATGCCAGTCTTCGAAATGTTACAAAGTGAAAATCAGAAATGGGCTAGTACCAACCTTCCATATCCACCAAAGCCCCATCTGCGACATGTTCAAGATTAAAAATCGAGGTATCAGACATATGTATTGAAAGAGCAGATGTTAAAAGTGATTGAAATGTTGAACAGAGAAACTACTTACGTGTAAACAAACCCATTCTTATCTACTGCCACTGATTAAGAGAAAATTAACATATAAGAATGAGTAATTAGCTTTTTCTAAAGGCAAAGGTGGAGGGGAGAGAGAGAGAGAGAGAGAAATAATTTTCGTTTCTGGTTTCTTACCAGTATGATTTGTTCCACATGCAACTTTGACAATTGTTTCCCCCGCAAGAGAGGCTATGGATTTAGGACGTGGCTGAGCTTCGTAGGCGAGTCTAACAGAGCTATCCTTCATATTGAACTGAAAAGGAACAAAAACAATGTAGCCTGGTTTAAAGTAAATTATGGAAACATCCTACGTAAACTATTCATCAAGTAAAATTCAAAAAAAGCCTAAAGTAAGTATATATAAGAAGACACAATAGCTCAAAAATCATTTTGGCGATTTCAGAACAATCACAAACAAATCATGCACCGAACACATCCAATCATGTATATAGGCTACGATTAAGTGAAAATAGTCGAAAAAAGCATTGATTGCAAAATCTAAACATGAGCGATAACTAGATATGAATAAGTTACCTCATTATCAGTTCCATGACCAAGTTGACCATACTGTGGGAGGCCGGCAGTCCTATATACAAAGAAACAAACAGTCTGAAACTGAGCAAGCATTAAAGGCGAAACAACAGAACTAGACCAAGGAGTAAGAAACCATACAGTATAGAGGCTCCTTCAGTAGAAGATAACCACACCGTAAAGTCAGACCCACAGGCAATGCTCGTGACCTCATCCGACACAAGACAGGGAAGAGGCGACGATTCAACTTCTACAGAAACAAAGCCTGTGAGATACTGATCTCATACCATTAGAACGGAAAGATTGAAGCAGAAATAGTTTAATTTTTACTTACCGTTTTTGACAGAGCCCAAACCCAACTGCCCATGCTTATTCCAGCCAAAAGCAAGGGACTTGCCATCATCGCTAACCACTACCGTGTGGTTCCTACCTGCTCCTGCTTTCACAATCTTGTACCTTCAATAGAGAAACAGAACGATGAAAAAAAAACAGCTAAATGACGCACTAAAACAAATTCAAAATGTTCAACAACAAAAAAAAAAAAAAAGAGTAGAATCCAAATCCTCAAAAACGCTTAAGGAAACAGAAACTCACTTTGAGAGTCCTGAGACAACAGTAGGCCTGTCACGTTGAATCATGTCTCCATGACCCAATTGACCTTTCTGAAAAACACACAGCCAAGTTTCAT